ATTGGTGGACAGATCCGGCTCCTGGATAGGGTCCAAGATGACTAGGCCGAGTTTGGATAAGATTGGCAATTGGCTGGAGGGTCGCCTCACTAGTTTCATTGCTGGTGAGGGCGATTCACCAAACACTGCAGACACCCACGCGAAAACGCCTAGCTTCAGTGGGCCGTTTGCACGTTACAGCACGATTTCGTCACTCACTAACTCGACTATGCCATCGCCGCAAATGTCCTACAGCGAACTGACGGAAAGTCAGAATGCCGCGCCGCCATTCCGGTCCGGATCCGCCATGGCCCTTCGGACCTCCACCGCTTCACCCGCTCAGATCGCACGAGCTTCATCTGCGATAGATTATCTTCGCCGCAAGCCGTCGCCTGTGCCTCGTACACCATCTGCTGGTGTCCCAATTCTCACAACACTACCTCCTAGGGCACAAGCTCCGTATGGGTACACCAACGGTTTCCCCGATCCAGCGACACAACGTCTAGCCTCCCCCTCAGCACAGGAAGACTCATCAGATAGGCCCTCTGGTCCGCAAGTGGCCTCTTGGTGGGGCACTGGAGATTCGGAATCAGCCACGCCAACTGCCACGTCTTTCCCACCTGCGAACGAGTCGACTCACTCTTCGTCGGAAGGCTTCATCACCTTGATGGATGCTCCTGGGGTTTCCGCACCTTCTTCCTCCACCACTGCACAGTTTACCGCTGCAGCACAAATACAGTCGATAGGCCGAGAGGAGCTGTACGAAGACGACGATCTGGGTTTAGGGAACACAGCGAACCGCGCAAAGGACAAGGTTGACACCCCCGCAGAAGCTGAGAAGGGGGCAGCTAGTCCTGCCGCTGAGAAACCTAAAGAGCCCGAGAAGCCTGGTGAGTTCATCAGCTTATGACGTTAGATGTGGCAGCTTACTTCTGTCAATCGTAGTCACCCCTGGTGGCGGTTGGCTAAGTCGTCTCTGGAAGCGTGGTGAGTCTGGCCCCATCAAGGCTAGCTTGGGTGAAGAGAACACATTCTACTATGATGCCGAGCAGAAACGCTGGATAAACAAAAAGGTGCGTCCTTCTCAGGGTGAATATGACGGACGCACAGTGTTAATATCTAACCTCCTCTAGGCACCGCCCGAAGCTGCCATAACAGCACCACCGCCACCACCACCGAGAGCACAAACAGCGTCTCCTGGAATGTCTGCCGCAAGAGGTCCCCCGGCTTCCTCTCCTGGTCCTTCTCCGCCAGTACGTCCTGCTACTGCAATCGACCTGACAGACGGTCCCCCGAAGAAGCCACCGATGCGAATCCGGTCGAACCTCGTTCCACCGGAGAGTGCGTCAGTGCCCGTCACTCCTGGCTCGGCCGTTCCTCCTCGAACGCCAAATACAATGATGGACGGGCCTCCGGGGCTGGATGCACCTCCTACACCTGGTGCGAGGAGACCACAACCCAAACGCAACGCGCGCAGCAGATACGTAGATGTTTTCCAGCAGGAGTCTAGCACTTAGACTTTATGTTGGTGTTGCTATCCTTAATGCCAGTACTCTAATTTATTTGAGTTTATGCTTGGAAGAGTTGGCGGTAGCTTCCTGGAGCTTGTGCAGTTGGTTGTTGGGACGGGTGCAACCATCTGCTCCCGAGCCCTGAGAAGGTTCCTATCGGTAAGCTGAGGGCCATCGCTGTTGGTCTCGCGCCTGCAAGGCCGAACTCGACAAGTCTCTAGAATCTCATGTCGTCATTTAGCTTTTCACGGACCACAACTGCGGCACCCCAGGGCGGTCAAGAGTACCCAAAGGTAAGAAAACACTGTGAGGCAAGTTAGTGGCATTCTAGGATCCAAATGCCCTTGAAGTCGTTAAGCTTAGCACGCACTTCAGAACTAGAAAGGCAACAGCAAAATCAAAGATATCAGCATATAGTTCGAACGCCGTGTACACAACATGTAGGTTTTTATCTTTTCTGCAGGACGAGGGGAAGGAGGATAAGTGTATGTGGGTTTTATGAGTTTTCCAAACCAAAATTCAAACACGCAATGTGAAGCTACTGATCGAGTCAGAGGAGGGAAGAAAAAGAGAGAGACGGAAGGTTGTTCGGTCCATTACGCGACCGTGATCGACAACAAACGGCTGGATTCCGCGACAGTGTTCTCTAAACCTTGTTGAATGCCCATTTCCACGTATCGTCATCGACACCGCTTGCCTGCAAAGTGACCTTATTGACGGGAATTAGTAACATGCTTGTGTGTGTAGCGGGCGAAAGTAAACATACAACGGTGTAGTTGTCACCGGCAGAGAGGGCCCAGTAGAGCTTGTCGGAATCGAGGCCGATACTAGCAGGCAAAAGATACGTTCGTTAGCAACGTCGCGTGGTATACCTCTCCCGCTCGGATGCAACTCACGAGTGCAAACCGCCGTCCTGGTCCTCGACGTCCCAAGCATACTCCTGCTTCTTCTCCAAGATGCGAGCGCCTGCTTTAGTGTCCTCGGGGTAGGTGTACAGCCCAGTCTTCTTGTTCTTTATGGTCTGCTTGTACGAGTCGTATTCCCACTGTAGACATTGAGGACGGTCATGAGTTTGAAGTCGAGAAAATTGGCTCATGAACACGCACGACTTGCACGTCGTCCTCGATGTCGGTCACTCCAAAAATGGGAGGTTTACCGGTGCCATCAGGAGCGTTGATGTCAGTAATGACTCTGTTGGTAAACTTTGCGTTGGCGATCTCGATCCTGTAGATGTTACCCGAGTTCTTGAGGAGCCTCTTGGGCAGCGAGGTCTGCTTGTCGCTGCTGTTGTCCGATGTGGAGTTCATTGTGCAGAGGAGAAGGACCTGGTGTGATTGCTGGTAAGAGTTTGAGAGGTGTTGTTGTGGATGCGGTTTGGTAGGCTGGACTGACCTGGTTTTATACCCTCGAGAGGCGTCAAAGCCATATTGCAGCATACAATGGCGCATCACGTAGGCGTGTCAATGCATTAGGGCAACGGCAACTTTGGTGGCCAGATGTTCCATGAGAGACACGGTCGCGGAGCTCTCAAGTGTGCAGCTGCCAGCTGCAGAGCTCCTACCTCAGAAAAGTATCTTTGTCAATACTACAATCGACTTGTACCCTTTACAGATGACGAAGCCACACACACCTTTCCGTAAATTCATGCAAGTGCGCGGCACACATACCACAAGGTCCATGAACTGCATGTCCCTGGCAGTGGCGGTACTCATCACCCAGGAAAGGGTCTGGGCGCCTCCGAGTCAACGCTAGTAAGTCGGCACTTACTACCTCAAGCCGATATGCAGACTGTGTGTATTCCTTTCCAAGTTCTGCGATTTATACATGGGCCAGACTAACGAGTCAAATTAGTACAGGAGAACGACGCTGAGAAAACGTGTTACGCTCTTGACGATCTTTGCTGCTACTAATTACTGATACCAGAGGACTCGGATGATATTGTAACTGCAGCAGGGATATCCTTGGGTAATCCGAACAAAGCGATCCTTTCCATGTTGGCAAACACTGGAGTCGTCGGACGAGTGTTGTGTCCGTTGTGCTGCTATTCGACGCGTACCATTCCTCGTCCATGGCAGCAGGAACGGAAACCGCATTGTGGCTTGGTGCAATCACAAACCTGTCTGCGGCGTATATTATGTTGCGCTGGACCCTTTCGAGCTGAATAGGCCCATTGCGATGCACAATCAACACCTCCATTGCCGTCCACCGAATTGACGTGGCCTAGCTGTAGCATATACTCCATCGTTCAATGCGGTGACTGTGTTCAGGTACGCCTTGTTCTCATGAGCCCGTCTCTCATGTGATAGCTCAAATTTCTGACCATTCCTCGCACGTTTTAGGCTACGATATGGTACTGCCCACCATAATGACCCTGTAATACCCCACCAGTGATTTTGACGCCTCTCGAGGGTATAAAACCAGGTCAGTCCAGCCTACCAAACCGCATCCACAACAACACCTCTCAAACTCTTACCAGCAATCACACCAGGTCCTTCTCCTCTGCACAATGAACTCCACATCGGACAACAGCAGCGACAAGCAGACCTCGCTGCCCAAGAGGCTCCTCAAGAACTCGGGTAACATCTACAGGATCGAGATCGCCAACGCAAAGTTTACCAACAGAGTCATTACCGACATCAACGCTCCTGATGGCACCGGTAAACCTCCCATTTTTGGAGTGACCGACATCGAGGACGACGTGCAAGTCGTGCGTGTTCATGAGCCAATTTTCTCGACTTCAAACTCATGACCGTCCTCAATGTCTACAGTGGGAATACGACTCGTACAAGCAGACCATAAAGAACAAGAAGACTGGGCTGTACACCTACCCCGAGGACACTAAAGCAGGCGCTCGCATCTTGGAGAAGAAGCAGGAGTATGCTTGGGACGTCGAGGACCAGGACGGCGGTTTGCACTCGTGAGTTGCATCCGAGCGGGAGAGGTATACCACGCGACGTTGCTAACGAACGTATCTTTTGCCTGCTAGTATCGGCCTCGATTCCGACAAGCTCTACTGGGCCCTCTCTGCCGGTGACAACTACACCGTTGTATGTTTACTTTCGCCCGCTACACACACAAGCATGTTACTAATTCCCGTCAATAAGGTCACTTTGCAGGCAAGCGGTGTCGATGACGATACGTGGAAATGGGCATTCAACAAGGTTTAGAGAACACTGTCGCGGAATTCAGCCGTTTGTTGTCGATCACGGTCGCGTAATGGACCGAACAACCTTCCGTCTCTCTCTTTTTCTTCCCTCCTCTGACTCGATCAGTAGCTTCACATTGCGTGTTTGAATTTTGGTTTGGAAAACTCATAAAACCCACATACACTTATCCTCCTTCCCCTCGTCCTGCAGAAAAGATAAAAACCCCACATAAACATCTCGTGTCTACTGTATTCAGTTTACCTATGCACCATTTCTTTGGGTTCAATCTGGGATGCTTCGGCACTGTCAAGTCTGTAGATATGGAGATGTAATTGGGAATACTGTGCTGAAGAGTAAGAAAAAATGACCACCGCAGGACTCGAACCTGCAACCTTTTGGTTGGAATCTATCACGTGAGGCGATCGAAGCCAAACGCGCTACCATTGCGCCAGGTAGCCATACATTGCGTGGTGCACGCAGCAGTTATGTACACTTATTGTAGAATAGCATGTTTTAGATACAGTTACAAACTTGTTCTGAACCCATAATTTATAATTAACCCGATGACAGAAATATACGCATAGGTCGCTTGAGGCTAGAGCCACGCAACCGAATACATGTCCGCCAGCCAACTTTGTATGATTTCCGGGATGGACTGATGCACAAGTCGGAAAACCGCGCCTTTCGTTACATGCCGAATACTTTGAGAACTGCCGAACGCGCATACGGGATGTAAGAGAGCGTGTACCAAGTGTAGGCAAGGTATTCGATGATAACAAAGACTGGAATACGTGCGAATAGTTAGCGGCTCATACATCGCTGTGAAGGAAGCTGGAAGGAGACGTACTGATGCAAAGAACCTAAAAGGCATGGCGAACTGCGGTCAGCGAGATGCATGAACCTGATGAGTACACAGAACTCACGTCACTCCCGATAACGAAAGCACCGACAAAGACAAGCACTATGGAGGCCAAGAAGACAATTGTGGCGAGAACTCGTACGGGTTTGAACATCTGCCGCCAGGGGAGGTCAGCGACCAGTTCTATACATTCCATAGTTCTACTAGATAGGCATTAGCGTACCATCTTGATTTGTTTGGCAAACTGAATCATGATGTCAAGTCAATCGCACGAAAGAATTCTAAGGTTTACTAGCAAACGTACCCCGAGGAGGAAGCCCGTTCCAACAAGAGATATCACCGTCCCCAGTGCATATAAAACTGACAAGGTCAGAACACAGGCTGTCAGAACTCGGGTGCCTCATGAGTTCGTGGCGAAGAACGCACCTGCGAAACTTCCCAACTGCCCCAGGAACAGCAAGATTGAGCCTAGGAGACTTAGTACGAATCCGAGTGCTAGACTGTGAACATTGTTCAAGGATTGAATGTGACAGGTAAAGGGGCGGACTGATCAGCTAGGCGTCCTCGCAGGATACTGCACCCTGAGAAACGCACCATCCCGCAAATCCGTACAACCTCTGCTGTCTCGTCAAGCCCAAGAACTTGAACGCAGAGTCTCCTTCAAAAAACTGCGTCTCCGGGATGGTTCCAGCTGCCGCCTCGAGATTGAACCAGCCTTTCGACGCCATCGTAATCGTAGGTTTATTTCTTTTGTGTGCTATGTACAGTACTTTGTAAGCCTGTGTTGACGCGATAATACAGTCGTGATAACCGTGAGGAGAGTCAGAGGGTCAGAATACCAGCTGAACGTTTGTGTGTAGAGTAATTGCAGCAGAAAGTCGTTGTCGTGGAACTTGCAAGTGCACAGCAGTTGGCTACAAACCGCTCGGCCAAGCGGAAGGTCTCAAGATGCCGCCGGTGAGGCGCATCACCCCAAACAAGAGCAAATACTCACCGCGCTCAGCAGTGAGACGGTAGCCGCGATCTCATTTTTGCCATACTAGCTTGTCACGGTTTAGTGCTCGAAATGAGCGGTCGACTCGCCTCGTTAAAAGGTCCATCCACGCCTGCGCCATCCACTGTCAAGGCGAAGCAGCTGCAGCTCCCGAGTGCACCCTCATCGCCGTCGCGATCGACAGAGTCCACTTACCACCGAAAGTTGCGCACATCACTTCAGGAGCTACGAACAGTTACGGACAACTGGGATGACATTGTGCTCATCGACGGGTTGAAAGCGGCCAAGAGTCTTGTCGACGCGCGCACCGATCTTGAGTGTGTATCGACAGCTTGGTGTTTTGATACTGACTCGTTTTTGACCGATGCTTTACTCGCAGCAATGATCTCTCCGCTGTGACTATGGGGACCCAGCCTAAATATCGACTTTTGCAGCCAAAAATAACTTTAATGGAAACACGCATTGCACAGCTAGACACCGTGATCCAGAAACTGGTCAGTACGAGGTAGTCTTGAAATGGCGACGAATCTCATCTCATAATTGCATTTTCCCGTAGAAAAGGCAATTCAACAGGATGGACATGATTGTAGAAAACGTCGAAGCCCTTTTCTTCGACGCCAGCAAGACGAAAGGCTGGCAATTCGTTCAAGAACCTCTTTGGGCTACATGGTCGCTAGAAAAGTTCGGTATGCCGTTTCGAAGCATATCATTCATTATTGGGAGCCTTGACAACAGCTTGCAGCGACATCGCTCCCTATGATTCTCATACCGTATCATCGATCGCTGGAGATGCACAAAGACATCGTTGACACGCTGCGGAGTCATTCAGTCTCTTTTGAGGCATCACGAGAGGCAATAGCCAATTGGGTTGCCCAGCCTGACCTCGAAGAAGGTAGCTGGGATGCGCAGTGGGAGGACCTTTGTGACGCGGAAATCGAGCGGTGGATCAGTGCCAAATGATTCGCCGCTATACTTCAACGGCTCACCCAGCTCGCCGCGAGCAACAGACGGGGAGGCATCACTATACAGGGCCAGAAAGTTGGTCACGTCGCTCGCTCCGCATGACTCCGCTCGTCAAATATCCATCGCTGTATCTACGGGCAACACACCAATCTCCGCACATCCTGTATGTCGTCAATAACGGAGTCAGAGAGGTGAACACTTCCGACGACGATTGTGTCCGTGGCCTTGCGATAGCCTGCAACGGTTGGAATGAATAGGGACACATGGCGCACAGACACCTAAACATTACGTCTTACCGCTCATGCTGGACATATCTCCGATGCAATACGGTAGAGAAGTTATACTTCCTGTTGTCCCAATAGCGCAGCATGTTTTATTGTGGACTACACAGCAAGATACCTCTACACCAGCAGATACAGAAAGCGAAAGCAACAAGAGTGGAGCTATGAATCTTCGTCGTCCGAGATGTGGATCTCGTCTGCATTGGCAGCAGACGCACCAGGCTCGTCCTCCTGCTGTCGGATATTGACATTGTTCTTAGAAGCAACGAAAGCAGGGCCCTTCACACCGCCCGCCAGTCGTTCTGCCGCAGCCATCGCATCCGTCGGTGCATCCTCGTCGTCGTCCTCCACTCCATCTTTCTGCTTGGAGGCCATCTGCGCAGCGATGTAAGACGCCTCGGTATTGAACTGTGCTTGGACACTACGCTTGATACGTAGCATCTCTCGGAAGGTATCCTCGGAGCCCGTTTCGATCTCGAACGTGTTCCACTCTGCCCAAAAGTTCTGGTTGACACGCGGGTCGCAGAACTGGGATGCGTGCGCGTAGATCGCACGGGCACGGTCGATTTCGCCGAGTTTGCGCTCCATGGATGCGAAGCGTAAGCACATCTCGGCCGTCTGCTTGTCTGGCAGAATCTCGAGTGCGCGCTCGTAGATAGGTCGGGTCGCAGTGAGACCGTAGCTGGCCGTGGCTTTGGCAATGTAGATGGTAAAAAGCTACAGACAAGTTAGACAGCAGCACTATCATAGCAACCCAGGAAAACTGCTTACATCAAACTTATCTTCATCGTTAACCACCCCCGTAGCCCGGTCATAGATGCCCATAGCCCGCTTGGCAAGTCCATGTTCTTCCTCGAAAGAGGCGTACATGAGAAAGATCGATTTGCAGGACTTAGCCGGACACTTCTCCAACGCTTGTTCGAAGAGATCTCGGGTTCGCTCGATTTTATCGCCGCCCTAGAAAAAGGTTTAGCTCCGGCTACGATGGGTGCAAAATGGCCACTAACGTATCGCTTGACAAACTTTGCCAGATAAATGTTCCAGATTTCGTACGAGACAGGAAATGTAAACAATTCCACGCCGCGCTCATAGACCTACGGTGTGCATGAGTGGGCTGTGATAAGGAAAACAGTGAGGATGCTCACGAACCTTGAAACTCTCTTCAAAGTACTTATTCTCCTCAAGGAAGGCTGCGTAGTTGACAATGACTTGAGCGTTTGCTATACGAAGCTCAAAAATCTTGTCGTAGACCGCTTTCGTCGATTCAACCGTGCCGAGAGACTCTTCCAAGTCCACATAGAACGACCACAACTTGAGCGACTTGAATAGCCGTGCTTGTACCGGTATCGACTAGAGTCTACTTTCAAACACTAGTGCCAAGGTGAGGACAATATGTACGCACGTGATCATGATAATTGATTTTAGTGTTTTTGGGAACAGCGGCAGCGCGTTGCATCACCCGAATGGCTTCATCATAATTTCTATGTGCTTTCAGATCAGGGACATGGCGTGCTTCAGCAGGCGAATATACAACTCACTCGTGCCGAATCTCTAGTTCAGCCCATTCGCACCACACGTCGGCTAGGTCTTCTACAGTCTTGAAGTTCACCTTTGTAGCCCTTTCGAGAATCTTGCGAGCATTGTCCAAGTCCGCTTCAGCCTCACCGTTCGTACCACCTTCCTCATAAAACTTCGCAAAGTTGACATATAGTTTGTGGAAGTTTGCTGTGGCTTTTCGAGGGTTGACGGTGGTTAACGCTTGTGTGTAAGTCTCCGCAACTTTATCGTCGTGTTCGCCCCACAAAGCGACACGCTTTTCCCACTCCTGCACGTCGTTAGGGTTTCTCCTCAACAGAACGTCGTTGACAAGGAATGGCCTTCGGTCCATCAGCTCTTCAAACTCCTTCATCTTAACATCCAGCTCCGCCTCTGTCTGCTTTATGTCTTCCTCGTCCTCATCCTCGTCAGGCTCAGCGATACTCTCCATCAACGCGCTGATCAAACTCTCCGAGAACTCAGCGTACGCGTCGAAGATTTGAGTGAAGTCCCTGATAGTGAGCACTGAAGCAATGCCATCTTCAAAAGTCGCCTTTGCACGATCGAACTCGCCTCGCTTGATCCAATAGGTAGCCAGCCCAGTCCACAACCGGCCAGCTTGGTCTTTGTACACCTCAAGGCCGTCCTTCTTGATGATACGTTCGACGTTCAGCTTTCTGGTGCTCCTGTAGTCTTCGTCCTCGTCATATGCCGGGAGCACTTTCCCTTCGCCGTCTACAGCAATAGCAGGGCCAGCGAGCCGGATGAGTTGACAATCAACTTTCACGGGTTCAGAGGGCTGGTGTGGAGCTGCCTGCTCTTCCT